GAGACTTGAACCCACCGAAGAAGAAACAAAAAACCTACCCATCGAAAAATGACAAAAAAGACTTAAAGAACCTACCGAAAAACTGCTCCAACAACGACTTCAGTGACAATTCCAATGAAGATTCTAAAAAAAATAAATATTCGCGGTTAAAAAAAATGACAAAGAACTACTGAAGGACTTACAGAACCAACCGATGAAGAGAAAAAGAACTAAAAAATAACAAAATTACTCACCAAAAAATGACGAAGAAAAACTATCAAAGGACTTGAACCCACTAATGAAGAAACAAAGAACCTACCCACAGAAAAAGAACTACCGAAAGACGACGAAAAGACAAAGAATCTATTACCGAAAAATGACAAAGAACTACCGAAAGACTACTCCAATGACGACTCTAGCGACGATTTCAATGAAGATTCTAAAAAAAAAAATATTCGCTGTTAAAAAAAAATGACAAAGAACCACCGAAAAATTTACAGAACCCACTGAGAAAGAGAAAAAGAACTGAAAAATGACAAAATTACTTACCGAAAAATGACGAAAAAGAACTATTGAAGGACTTGAACCCACAGACGAAGAAACAAAGAACCTACTCACCAAAAAATAATGAAAAGACAAAGAACTTATCATCAAAAATGACGAAGAACCACTGAAGGACTTAAAGAACCCACCGAAAGACTGCTCCAATGATGACTCCAGTGACGACTTCAACGAAGATTCTAAAAAAAAAAAATATTCGCGGTTAAAAAAAATGAAGAAAAACTATCGAAGGATTTAAAGAACCTACTGGACTGCTCTAGCAATGACTCCAGCAACGACTTTAATGAAGATTCTAAAAAAAAAAATCGCGGTTAAAAAAAAAAAACAAAAAAAAACATAAAACAAATCATCTTATATGATCGCCAATCTCAAAAATAATTGGTCGATCATATAAGGGTCGCTATGACGATGGGTCGCCATTTATAATTTTCCTATTAAAAAATATATAATTTAATTTATTTAATTTAAATACTAATAACTAAACAACTAAAATTAACAAATACTTAAAAACTAAAAAAGTTAAAACCAAGCCCTTGAAGCAACGTGACATGAGAGCCAAAAAGCTAAAAATTATATTAAAAAACAAATATATATAAAACTATATTTTTAAAATATATAAAAAATTTTAATATTAAAAAATTAAAAATTAGAAAAATTAAAACCAAGCCCCAGAGCAACACCCAGGTCTGAAAGCTAGTTTTTATATAGTTACTGTAATAATATCTGGGTGTAGGTTAAAAAATTGACCCAGATTAAGCTTAATTTAGGCCAAATTAAGCTTAATTCAGGCCAAAATTTTAACCTATACTCTGGATATTATTTTGAGGTAATACGGTATATATAAGTCTAGCATCACCACTCTAAAAAATTTCGCTAATTATGTGATCTTATTAAAAAAAATTGTTTTGCGATTAGTTTAGAGTTAGGGTCCCACCAGTAGGTTAATGTTTGGTTTAGAGAGTTATAATTATAGTAAAATTTCTTGAGGAATTTTTTTTGTTAGTACGCAGAAGGCACTTTTATAGGCAAAATTTTGAGCTATGAGCATTTTTTTGTTGTTTTGATTTTTTTGCACTTTTTTTTATTACACAAAATCTTAAAATCTGACTGGCCAGTGAAATTAATTAAGGGTAGTGATTTAACTTCGAGGTAGGACCGTCCCAAATTAGGATATGATGATCCCGATCATGCATATTAGATTTAGCCAATAAAATCATAAA